GAGGCGAATGATGGTATAATTTCGATAGTTTCTGGTCGACGAAGGAGTACTAGAATGTGTAAACATTTTTAACATCATATATTTATTATACTAAAGCAAGGAATCCAGAGGCATTCCAGGATTTTATCGCAACGATCAATCAAAAGCTTAATACGATTGACCTGGAATTTAGGAAAAGTCATGATGAAACTGACGGAAAAGCAGTCTGGGCCTTGGTGAGTTAAAAGCCCATCTTGAGGTGCATGATTCTTTTACAGAATGGCAATTTTAGTCAAACTTTTTTCCTGGGGCTATAGGTTAATACTAAAGGTGATGAGGTCGTAAAATTAGCTACAGAATATTCGCCTATTGAGATTGCATATTTTAAACATTTGGTGTGTCCAAGATTACGCATGAAACTTGCTCATGCATCATTTGTATTGACCATCTCGAGTCTTCGATTGTAATACACTATATTTACGTATTAACTCGTTGAAAGATTGAGCTTATCGTTACCGCAGATGATGAAGCATTTTCGGTTTCATCAATCACCGCATTGAAGGAAGCCTCTAAACTCAAAACGACCATTACCAAAAACACAGCAGAGAATCTTTTGCAAAGATTCGTTGATGATAAATGGTTAATTTTGTCACAGTAAGTATGCACACGTCATTTTGATGAGTTAGTAGTTGATTTAACTTATTAACATGTTTAGAGGTGGGAGATATTCGTTGAGTCAAAGGACAATTCTCGAATTGCAAGTTTATCTAAAAGAAGAATTTGAGGATAACCTTATTGAATGTACTTTGTGTTATGATATTGTTACCCAGGTGCAATCATTTTCATGGTCTCTACCCCTTATCGTCATTACATTTCCAAAAATGAAAGACTAATTTGATCTTTGTAAATCTAGGGTCAACGCTGTGACGTACAACAGTGTAAATCTCGTCTTCATCATCATTGTGCACGTCGTTATTTTTCTTCCCAGAATGAAAAAATTTGTCCGACCTGTAAAATTCCATGGAAGGATTCTAATGAGATTGGAGAGATGCGAAATAATACTGGTGCGATGAGATCAAGGAGGAGAGATAGACGTATCAATGATCAGGATGACTATTTGCAAGATTATTGTTAAAATAATTATTTGAAAAAAGGACGTAATATGGTGGTGTAAATAATTAATACTACGGCTAAATAACTTTTACTTTTCAGTAATACAAAGTGACCATGGTAATGCATCATTAATTAATCGATCGACATTTGTAACTTTGTTTCAAAGTTTTAACACAGAACTAAATCCAAATTGTGATGAGAGATCTGATTCGATAACCCACTATTTATTATAACAATTATCTTAGAAATTTTGATTGAATTTTTTTTTTTTTATTATTTTATTTAAAACTAGTAAAGCATATAATTACATCATAACAAATATATCCTATTCTGAAAATGTTTATCTTCTCCTAATGAAAAATCTAGTGCTGGCTTAAAGTCAATGAAAGAATAAAATAATAGATTCGCAATTAAAAAGGAATGTAAAAAAAACATTTAGGATATTGACAAGATTACATTCTATTCATCTGAGATTCCCAGGCGTTGCTTCATTTCTCGACATAAGTATATATAAATAAAGTAATTCAAATAGTTTACTCATTCTACTAGGACCAAACTCTCTACTTCAAAATTTATTTTATCATCTGAAATGGGATGTGTCGGTAGAGAATTCTTGAGTAAATTCGACGAAACGTTAGGTTGAACAGATTCTCCGCGATCCTTATCTTCAGGTTTCATCGATGATTCACCTAAGTGCCTAGAAAGATCTGCTACTTTCTTGAGTAGAGAACTAATCAGTGCGTGATTTCTTTTAGCTTCAGAACATTTCTCTGAGTTCGATGCTTTGGTATCAGGTTCCTTATCTATTTTTAATTTGGAGAATCTTTCCATCAGATCATCATCTCCATTTTCTTCAGTTACACGATCCTCACTTGAAGATGCGGGGCTCTCAGTAGACTTATTTGATGTATCTGATGTGTTGCTATCTGTTGATTTATCTTTACGCGACGGCGGACGTGACTTGCATTGTCGAGATATTTGAATAGAAGGTCCCAACGGCGGCGTATCAACTGAATAATACTCACTGAGCGATGGCGATGTAAAATTAAAATCACCATTTCCTGTCGTTATTAGATTTTGGGTATAATATTCCTCCGGTACAAAATTAGTACCAAAAGAATCGGGGAAATTATAAGAACCTCCACCAATGATATTCTCTGGAGGATATACAACGTTAGTAGGCGTATAATAAAGAGGATTGGCGTATAATTCCACATCTTTTAGAGCTTGTGTTAAAAAGTTTTCAAGAATATTGAGATCTTCCTTTTTTCTAAGGGAAGGAGGTAAATTCTCTTGATCGGTGTTAATTCCATCGAGAGCATCAGAAACACTTTGCAATTTGTCAATTAAACCTATATAAATTAAATAAATAAATAAGAACACATTTCATTTCTTATAACAAATAATTACTAGAATTTCAAAGTAAGTACCATCATTGTACTTCGGATCAATGCGCTGCTTTTTCACATCTTGATAAAATTCTTCAAAAACTTCTATGCTGCGTTTTTGGCTAGACTTTGGCTTTACGTAATCCTCTCCAAATAGACAAGAATCGAATAATTCACCGTCAGAGAGCTGGGGTATTTGATATGAATAGCAGTCTACTCATCATAGGAAGAAAAAAAAACGTTATACTTTTTTTGCCAATGTGTTCTACTAGAGTTAAATTGATACTGTTGTAAATACACTATACCTGGTGAGCCAGATGCTACACTATTGGACGAATAAGATGGTTGCGGGGATGAAATGGAAGAAGCTCCAGGAGAATCATCGAGTTGAGGTGGCGTAACCGGTTGACTTTTATTAATCCTGGTGAACTTATTGTCGAATATCTTTCTTTGTTGTTGTGTGTAATGTATTTTTTCATGCTTCTTTAAATCTTGGGGTCGTTTAAACGCCTTGGTACAGATCTGATAAAAAAGCATTTTTAGCTCACAAGTATATAACGACTTTTAGGAATTCAATCAATATTACCTCACAAACATGTGGTTTTGAAGAGACATGAACTCTTAAGTGGCTAGTGATATGATCCCTCTTTTTGGAACTATTTCCGCATCCATCCCAATGACATACAAGACATAGGTTCCCAGTCGATTTTCGACCAACATGGTCGTTCGACAAATGGAAGTAAAGCAATTCTGCGTCATTGAATGTACGAAAGCAATTCTTCCACAAACAGACAAAGTCTTCACAACCCTTAACTGAAGGTGTTGTACTAGTGACCAAGACTTCACCATCTAAAGGTGGCGTTAAATATGGGTTGCAATTCTTGTCTAAAGGAGGTGATGGTGTCGATGTCATTTTTAGATTTTCTTTGATTGAATGCTAAAATTTGGTCTCTTTTGACTTGCAGTTAAACTTGTGGTAGCACCTCTTAGAGCCTAAATAAGTAAAAATCAGTGGTGAAAAAATTGGTGTTGGGTCCCTTTTATATTTAAACCGAATAGAATCGCGTTTTCAATTTTTAACAAACGTGATCATAAAAGCATACGTAAGCCAAGAATGGTGCTAAAAATAAGTTCTTGGCACTCAGCTATGGAGTCACGTTTTTTCTTGTAGTTCCTACGCCGTCAAGAATATTTTCTTGGAAAATTAATTAAGGTTACTCTGTATTTATCAACTTACACACAACCTACGTACTAAGATATTTTTTGATATGCCAAGAACGAAATTGTTCTTTAATGAAGGATTGATTTAACCTGTCCAATAAATAAATACGTATTATTTGTGCTACCGGGAGAATACATGTTTCGGAACGTTTCAATCAGCAAGTCTTGTCAAATATATTATTTAGTCAATCAGCAAGTCTTGTCAAATATATTATTCTATTATTAGGTTATTAATTATTATTTAAATGTATAATTTTTTTTTCCTTAGATAAACATTGTTTCTTTATTTTTAATCAGACTAATATAATAAATTTAATAAATAATAAAATAAATAAAATTCTTATTGATTTTTTGAAATTTTTTTTTCTTTAAAAAAATATTTTAATTTTAAAAACTATTGTTATATCAAAAATAAAATTTTTACTTATTTTTTAATTATAAAAAAATTTTTTTTAATTATATATTTTTTAAAATACTATTACGTAATATTATTTTTATTGATATATAAATTAATAAATAATTTGATATATAATATTTGTTAAAACTTTTTTTTACTAATTTGTTTATAAAAATCAGTCAATTAATATTGAAAATAAATTTTAAAGCAATATATTCTATCAAATAATTTTGAATAATTATAAATATCTATTTAAAATTAAATAATAAAATATGAGAATATTATATAAATTAAATAAAAATATTTGTAATTGTAAAAAATAAGTCAATAAAATTATATTTTATAATAAATTAAATAAGAAATTCTTGTTTGATTTTATAGACTTGAATTTAATTCTAAGTATTGTAATAAAAAGATTTTGTTTTTATTTTATTTTGATAAGTAAAGATATATTTACTATATTACATTAAAATTTTCAAATAAGATTGTATACTTGAGTTAAAATTACTATTAATACTTTAATTCATTTATTAAAATTTGCTATAAAAAAATATTGTTAACAATACTATATATAAGTTTTATTATTTACTATTTTTTTTTTTAAAGTTGCAAGTAAGCTTACTTTAATTTTATTAATTGTAGTAAATAATATACATTACATATATTTTTATTTACACTTCAAATTATTACAATTAGAATTCATCCATAGGTATACCATTCAGGTGCCACCTACTTATACAATTTTCTTATATCTTTCAGCCTTAAGTTTGTAAACTTTTTAGTAAGATCCAACCACCAATTGAATTACCCAGAATATTGTGTCTTTATCTCCTCCTAGTAATTCATCTTATTTAAGACCGTGAGCCTGAATTGTTACCATTTGAAGAAGCGGATGGAACCTATTGGCCAGAATTTGTTTCAATACTTTTAAACATGAGGTTAATGATCCAATCCTTTTTAGATAATATTAGGCTTCAAGTGTAAGCTGCTTATTTAAGAGGGCGTAACTCCTTCAAAGTTAGGCTAAGTCTTAAGGGAAGTCTTCCATTCTGACAATCGTTACCAACTTAGTACCTTCACTACAGGTAAGAATAGTGAGTATTGCTAGTGAGTCGTTACTTATACTGAAGGAGAGGTAGTATTGAAAGTCTTGCTAAATAGTTTTTTAGTTTTGTGACTCTCCATATTATATTTTTTTTATAGTCTCATAGACTATAGGAAAAGGAAACAACCTATTGTGGAACCGGGATTGCATCAAATTGAACAACAATCATTATAACACCAACCGGATGATTGTCATGCTACAGCACCTTTTCTGGAAAATTACAATCTCAATGCCTGCTGAATCAGCATATAAAATGGCTTTTCATAAGAAACAGTACTTAACAGATTATGGCGTCAGGTACCATATTAATTCTATTTAACTGTTCTCACATAAGGTTGAACTGGTATCTTGTAATTTGACCTGTGGAGTATTAACCACTACACTACAGACCCACAGGTCTCGTTTTATTATTTGTTATAGATTAGTTATTAATTTTTTATTATTACTAAGTTAAAGATAGTATTAACAAAAATTATGCTTTATTAATAATTGTTATATTTTTTTTATTATATTATTTATTATATTCTATAGTAAATAATATAATAAAAAGAATGTAATAATTACTAATGGAACATATATAATTTTTTTTTTTTTGAAGAAGCAAGCAGCTCCTCGTATATGTTTTATTTATAAAATTTTAGACTTGTAACAGGGCAAGATTTTATACTTAATATGTAATATACGTCTCCCTTGTTAGGAAGGGTTTAACGTAAGGCCTATCATAAGGACCCATTCATCTGCACTCCTTAGCACCACTTAAAAATACAGAAAAATGAATTTAAAAACCTATATTAAACTTTGAATAGTCTAGCTACCTAGAATAAATGATACTTAGTTACATGAAGATGCTACAGTCACTATATACAGGTTTGTCTCCAAATTATAACTAGGATTGGTATGCTTGCTTTTCAAATATGGCTTGATGTCTGGCAAGCAGATAGGAACATATATAATTTTATCAATTTTTTTTTTTTTTTTAAATGCGAGTAGGCTTTTACTCTAATTTTTATTAATTTGTTATAAATGACATACATTGTATATTTCTATTCACACATAAATTATTACAATTAGAATTCACTTACAAGTATACTATCTGGGTGTAGCCTACCTATAAGAACTATTTTAAACGCATCAATTTTCTACATCTTCTAGCCTCAAATTTGTAAACTTTCTATTAAGTCTTTTAACATCAAACCGGATTGCCCATCGAAATACTGTGTCTCAAATTCCTTGTCCTCTTCCTTTGGATCAACAATCTTAGCGATTGATGCAAGGGGATTCCCATTTGGGAAACAAATAGAACCCTTTGGCCAGTAGTGTACCTTTAATCCTTCTCGAGGTTGATAATCCAATCCTTTGTAGATAATGCCAGGCTTCAAGCATAGGCTGCTTATTTAAGAAGGCGCAAATCCTTCAAAGTTAGGCTAAGTCTTAAGGGAAGTCTTCTATTCTGGTAATCGTTATCAACTAAGTACCTTTACTACAGATAAGAATGGTGAGTGTTACTGGCAAGTGCGTAACTTGTGCTGCAGGGGGTTGTGCTGAAAGTCTTGCTTGAAAATTTCCAGTTTTGTGACCCTCTATAATTTCTTTTATAGTCTCGTAGACTATAGGAAGGGGAAACGATTTGTTATGGAATTGGGAATTACACCAAACTTGACAATGATCATCGTAATGCCAACTGGATGATTATTACACTGCAACACCTTTTCTGAAAATCACAATCTCAACACCCGCTGAATCAGCGTGTGAAACGGCTTCGCATGAAAAACAGCACATAACAGATTATGGTGCCAGATACCATATTGTTCTATTCAATCGTCTTTACCTGGGATTGAACCAGTATCTTGTGATTTGACCTGTGGAGTGTTAACCACTACACTATAGACCCACAGGTCTATATAATTTTGTCAATACTGATTAAAGAATATAATTAATTGAATTTATTATTTGATTCATTTTTTGATTTTTATTAAATATTTGATAATATATTATATAAAGTTTATATTTTAAATAATAAAGGTTTAAATATTACTCTAAATATAATTGATAAAAGTACAGTATTTGCATATGGATAAAATTTTCGATAATAATTTAATTTGAATAAAATTAAGTTACTATATTTGTTATTATATATATATTTGTTTTTTTTATTAGACTTATTAATAATTTTAAGTTTATATAAATTGTGAATATATTATAATTAGAAAATTTTATAATAAAAAAGTTTTTATATATTATATAAATCTTGATAATATTAAAGATTTTTTTGTATTATCTAATACTATTACCTATTATAAGTTATTAATTTAAAGATTTTTTAAAAAATATAATAAAGAACTATTTTACTAAATGGTTTTTTTAGTTTATAATTTAGACTTGAAATTAATATTATTAATAAAATACTATTATTTATTATTATTATTTTTTATTATTTTTTATTATTTTTTATATTTTTTATATAGTATTTTATTATTTTTTTTCAAAATATCTATATAATTTTAAATGATATAACAAATTCTAAGTATTATATTTCAAAAACCTAATCTTTAAGATTTTTAAGATTTTAAGTAATTGTTTATAAAAAGACTAAAAAAATACTTTTTTTTTTTTATTGCAAATAAACATAAAATACAAGATTTTATTTACTAAATGATAATATTGTTATTACATTAAATATTCATTTAAGTTAATGCAGCCTATTATATATATAACTTTTAATATTACTAAGTGGAAATATTTTTTTTAGTAATATAAAAGATTTTTAAGAAATTAGGTTTGATTTGATAAGTTTTTGATATGTCTTTATATAATATTGTTATTATTATTATTTCTAACAAATTAATATTGGTTTGGTTTTTATTAAATTGAAATATCAAAATTGGATTGGCCATTGAGATTGTATAGATTGTTTGAAGGTATTGAACTGGTTTTGGTTTTGAATTTTAAGAAAATTTTTAATGTTATTGAGGTGGTGCAATAATACATATCATATTAAAGTTATTGAAAGAATTTGATTGAGACAAATAAAAAAGCTTAAAACTTTACTTGAATATACTTTTAGAAAAAAATTGATAGTATTAAGGATAATAAGAAGAATGATTATTATAATAATAATAAAAAAGGAATATATAAAGACAAAATTAAAAAAAAGAATTGCTATAGATCTTTTCTTATACAACCAAAGAGC